CGCCCGACCCGAACATATAAATGTTTAATTCCAGTGTCTTTCACCAAATTGAATGAAGTTGTGCTTCTTTATTACATAACCAGCCTGAATGGCTGCCATCATTGAAAAGAAGCATGCACATCCACGCGAATAGGTAAATTACCTAAAATATAATATTATTCATTCGTGCATATTTCCAAATGGCGCAGCTATGAAAATACCCTTTTCCGGTTGAGATGGCTTATAATATCGCTGAATGGAACGATCGCAATGAAATATGGAGTGGCTTCCAAAAAACCCTCAACCTTTGCCGCTCATCAGCATGGAATTGCGGTTTATTACGGCGAAGAAAAATGAACTTTAAATCCACGTTAGCCGCGTTATTTTTTTCATTCTTATCTGATGACATCAAGACGAACTTTATATCAGAACTTATATGGAAAATTCACGTTAAAGCAAAATAGGTTTAAGAATATACAAGTACATTCAGCTTATGAAGAAAATCAACCGAGGCACTCGAAGGCTTACGGAAATTTGAAGAAATTCAAGTTGAAAGTGCAATTTTGCAAGGTGGACTAAAAAATGACTAGTTTTGTTTGCGTAGTTTTGCCGTTTTGAAGTTACGTTTCATATGTAAACTTTCTCAAACTCACTCTTTAAGTATCTATTGCGATGAAAACCAAATGCCTACTGCTAAGAAAAATCTGCATCAAGCTCGTTTTTGAACATTTAAATCGCAAATTTTAGCAATTTTTGTTAACGTTTGAACCTGCCGGTTATACTTAGCACGGACGAAATCTTTGAAAATCTAGCCCTCAAGTCGCAACCGCGGCTGATTCCCGTCGGGATTTAAGACTGCGATTTTCTGGAGCGGTAAACTGTGGCAACTTAATGTTTCTGGCACTTATCCATGTGTTTTTCCATTTTCCCGATTTATTTGACACATTTTCGGCCGTACACAGGCACAACGACTCGTTGGAGTATTTTTATTTTGCCAAATTCTCTCTGGAAACCGTTCGGGATTTCCAAGCCCGTTTTATTACGGTGAATTACTATCGAATAAAATACAAAGTTTGTTGAAGAATTATTCTTGGAAACATACATTGTTTGAATAATAATCATTTTCACTCATTTTCTGGTTTTCATCCCCTAGGCGTTCCAAGTTGAATATCTATGTGCTCACCGCATGGATTTGTCTTTTGTTAACAACTTTCCCTAGTATTTTTTTTCGAAACATCTAGTGCTTTTCCACCAGTTTCCACTAGGTGTAATGAGCAACTTTTAAGCTGGTGGATTTAGTAGTAGAAAATTTGTCAACTTTCAGCAAATAAATGTCGCTTTCATCAGTAGATGTTTCTTAAAGCGTGTATTATTCGCTTGGTATTGCACAAGTACACAAGTATCAAAGCCAACTTCCTTATATTTCATCCCTCATGCAAATAAGATTTCCGAAAGAAAAACAAATGCGAATGAATGCGGACCAAAAAGCGACACAACGCCAACTTCAGTAGGTATATTTACTCGAATTCTGTTTACCTTTATCAAAACTTTCCAGCTGAAATGTATACAGGCAGTAGCGACTAAAAACTTTATACATAATATTACAACTTAAAATGCTGTTGGGAGATATCGTTGCAACTTTCAGGCAGACGTCGAAGTTTTTTCCCTTTTAAAGGAATCAAATCAGCGAAAATTGAGTGGTTGTGGGCTGCTTTTGATGGTCAAACAAAGCAAGATTTTGCTGAAAAATATCAGTTGCAAAGAGCACGAGAATATAAAAATAGGACTTTGCATCAACTTAGAAAACAATTGCTTCCAACTACCGCATTCGGAGTTCTGGTAATTTTTTGTGTCCACACAAGGCTCTGTTCAGATTCAACCAAAATTCTCTTACATTGTCCTGTATAAGTTACTTACCATAATCTATAAAAAATGCTCACTATTTCCGGTCTCCTGTAAGCAAAAAGGTAAACCCTGCAGATGCAGAAAATAGTCGTGTTTGTCTGGCTCAGAAACGCAAAATCACCAGCCAAATATAACGGATTTTGATTGAATGATGAAAATTTTCTGCGACCCCTTGAACCCCAGGCGAGATAAATATAATTTCCACAGTGTCTCTATATGTGGATGATTATGCAAAATTAAACAACTTTATCGGGATGTTTGTGTACCAATAGTTAATATAATCTCAGCCTGAGGCGTGCGTGTCAAATTGCCTGTTAATGCTAATTTTCCGATACAAATATTGAGCTTTACTCGGCTGCTAAATATTAATCCAACATTAATTTGGATGATAATCAATTTACTTTTGCTGCCATCCAGCTTGTTTTCGCAAGAACATCCAGGGTTTTGAAGGTGAAAAGTGGTCTTTTTGGGTCTTTCGATTTAAGGCAAAATCCCCATTGTAATTGTGCCGTAAACCTTTAATAAATCAATCGATAATAAAACAGAAATCCTGTTTAGTTTCAAAGCGCAAACCTTGTCATCGGCTAATACAAATTTATAGGTTCAAAGGATTCCCCCGGGCGACTCTATCAAACCGTTTGATTCCCGCTCTAACTCGAACTCTTGAATTTAAAATGTACGTAATCAGGACGAAATAGATTCAAAATTGGCTGTTTACCAGCTGGAAGCAAACGAATGAATCGAATTAGCAGTTCGATCGTCGATTTATTGCCAATCGGATAAAAACACTGCAGAATAAAAAATTAAACAATCTTTATTAACATATTAAATTTGTGACAATGTACAGATAGAAAACAATAGCCATTTACACAGGAACTTACCTTAATAGATCACGTTTTATCTAAGATATGTTGAAATTAGTGTCGATATTTACTTATGTACAGTAGGTCAAAAACGTATCAAGTGCGAGAAAAACAATCAACTTCTTACCGATTGTAAGCTTTTACAGCTACAGCATTAAGTTGGAGAGTCGACTATAACTTTAAATGCTAACATTTGGTCACTTTGGCCGACGAGTTTCATAAAATACATCAGATAATTTGAGAACACCATCAAGAATTCACATTTCACACACATTCCTCCAGACTGCGAAAACAAATTTGAAACTCCAAAAACACATTTAATTATAATGAAGGCACATTATAGCTGAATATTTAAAAACATGGATAAAAACAAGGGTTGTTGCTAAATACAACCCCAAGTAACTCGATCCCAAGTATCATGGGCTTAGGGTGCCCCCTACAGTGAACGTGAGAAGAATTTAATACATTTATATAATCTGGAAATGAAGAAAACTCACTGTGCAATTTCCCTTTTTGTTCGGAATTTATTTCCTTGGTTTTTTTGAGTTTCCACCGCAACAACAGTTATAGCTTGCTATAGAAATTTGCTTGATTCAACAGCACAATAAATTATATATTTCTGTATTTACAATTGGCGCGTTTATATTGCTTTGGTCTCCAACTGCAGGATTTTTCAAAATCCCAGCTAGTCGAACAAAAAGTGTATTTTCCCCGTAGACAGAGAGAAAAGGTGATGGCAATTTTCCTGAGAAACCGCCCAAAGATAATAAAAATAAAAACACCCATCCTTGGGATTGATAAATAGTGCTCTTATTTCGCAATAAGAAAGAATTATTTATCAAAAACTAATCAAGAACTATCACCTAGAGGGTATCCTGCGACACACTTAGGCTCAAGCTGGAAGAGAAAATTCCAATTAGTAGAGAAATTAATTTGATAAATTACCTTGAAGTTTCGATAGCTATTTTCTGCTATCGTTATCAAAAGAACCTAAATGAACATAAAAAAGAGTATGTTAATAAATTGTGTAACAATAGTAGGATAACACAGTATATGAAAATTCGCTCTGATAATGCGTCTGTGCAAATTGTCAGTTATGCGACTTTAAATTAGTAAAGGTAATGTTAATTAATAATTTTAGTGTAAATTTAATTTGGGCGTATGTTTCTCTGGTCTACTTCAGATTTTAGCATAGGCAACCATGTATGACTTAAATTAAATGAACATGAAGCAACACAATTATTTTGATTTAGT